CCCCTCCTGCCTCGTAGCCCTGCCGTGAGCATCAGAAACGCTGGCTTCTCTCTCGCCGGCCTGGTTTGACTCTCAGCAGTGACGTTTCTTGCATTTGGGGCGCATCCGTGAAGCAATCCTTTGCAGGTGACGAAAAACATGGCCCAGGTGACTAAGGCCTTGGACAAGGCTCTGAGCTCCATGGACCTGCAGAAGGTGTCTGCGGTGATGGATAAATTCGAGCAGCAGGTTCAGAATTTGGACGTTCATACGTCGGTAAGCGCCGGTGGCCTCTGAGGGGTCCGGGAGGACTGGGGGCTGCGGGGTTTGGGAGGGTGGGCTCGTCTCACGTGTGAGACTGCAATGAGTTTGTGAACTGCAATGCGCTGCGTCCTGGGAGAGTGCCGGGCCCCAGCTGTAGCTCAGGCTCCTGCAGCAGCGCTCCGTCCCCCTCGGGGACTCTGGCCTCTGCTATGGGGAAACCCCCCGAGCTGTTCAGGCAGTTCCGCTCCCTGCGTTTGCGGGATATGAGAGACGCTAGGGAAGACACGGCTCTGCTGCCGGGTGGGGAAGGAGTTTGCTGTGCAGAGGGGAATGTGGCAGATGGGGAGAAGAGGGAGGGTGGCTGTTGGACCTCGCGCCCCTCCACTGTGGCCCTGCTGCCTGGCTTGAGGCTGCTCCGGCTGCAGGGGCCGGTGGCGATGCGGGATCTGTGGCCGGTTCTTCGGGGGAAGAAGCCAAGCGGCTTTGCCAGTGGGGCAGGGTGACGGGCTGTCCCTGTTGCAGGTCATGGAGGACTCCATGAGCTCCGCTACCACGCTGACCACGCCACAGGAGCAGGTGGACAGCCTCATCGTCCAGATCGCGGAGGAGAACGGCCTGGAGATCATGGATCAGCTCAACCAGCTCCCCGCGGGGGCTTCGGCGGTGGGAGAGAGCTCGGTCCGCTCCCAGGAAGACCAGTTGTCGCGGAGGTTTGTTTTCTCCGGGGTCCTTTGCCTTGTGTTGAGGCGGTTTGGATCCTTCCCGGGGATCCCTCACCAACGCGAAGGGAACGCGTTAGCCCATCGTGGCAGACTGAGCAGGTGCTGAGCCCTGTCTCTCGTGCCCCGGCAGTCCCCGGGGGACCCTGTGCGGGCGGCACAGTGGCCGTTTGGGGCTGTGGAACCGCTTTGGGCTCGGGAGTGGCTTTTGGCACTGGGCAGAGCTCTTGTCGATGAGGTGCAGAGCAGTTTCCTCCTGCCTTGTGCTCACCCTCACGCAGCTGCTGCTGCTCTGCTCCTCTGGGGAACATTTGGCACTGACCTTCAAGCAGCTCCGGGAACAGGCTGTCTCCCTGGAACTGCCCCAGGAAAAGCTGCTGAGCTTTCTCTCCTGGGTCCCTCCCCACGCAGCCGCTGCCGGGGTCCATCTGGGGACAGCCCTGGGAGCGGGACCAGGCAGGCTGCAGTGGCCAGGCACCTAAAAAAGAAGCCGGGAAGCCTTTCTCCGCAGTGCCTCGCCTGTGTTGATGCCAGATGCTGCACGCTATCCCCAGGCAGCCGTGGCCGCGTGCTCCAGGGCGGGATTTCTGGCACCTCTGCCATGGGAGGGAGATTTCTGGGCAGGGGTGTTCCCCGCGCAGGCTGCCTGAGGGTCCTCCTGGGTCACAGCCCTTTCCCGTGGCTCTCACGTCTGTTCCCTCTCGTGCTCTCCCTTCCAGGTTGGCTGCCTTGCGGAATTAAGGTCTCCTGCGGCCCCTGCGGACTGCTGCCCCGTGCCGGTGGTATGGCGTGTGGGGTGGAGGGGCCCGGGACTCCTTCCCCACCTCTGCTACGTCCTCGCTCTGACCCACCGACCGGGCGGAGTCGGCCGTCCCCTCCTCCAGCAGCGCGTCCCCAGCCCTGCCTGCCCGCGTTTAGACTCTTCTTTTGGGCTGTGCCGGTGACGACTTTTCCCAGAGCAGGCAGTGGTGCTGGCAGGGGGGTCCTGAGCAGAGACGGCGTCTCTCTGGGCTTGAGGAACGCTTTGCTGGTTCTGATTTCAGGGTGTGTTTCGTTTGAGGGTGGCTGCTGGTTTCTGGCGCCGTCCCACGATGCAACATCCCGCTCCTGATTTAACACTAAAGGAATCCTTCTGGAGGCGGGTCGCGGTGTCTTCTGGGCTGCCGCTCTCCTGTCTCCTCCATGCGCAGTGCGCTACTGTCGTTACCTGTTTTAGACCGGCTCTCCAAGCTGCGCTTTCCTTCGGGCCCGCAGCAAGGAGCTGTTTACGAGGAGCAGGGAAATTCCCCGTGGGGCTGCCTTCGTCTCGTGGCGCTTTGGGAAGGGTTGTTTTCCCGGCTGTGGTGTTTCTGGGAAGGTTAACGCCTTGCTGGAAGCAATCTCTTCCCTCGCAGCGACCTTCTTGAGCCGTAGCCACGTGCTGTGTTTGCAGACTTCACCTTGCCGGTCGCTAGCTCCTTGTCCTACTGGGCCAAACCTCCCTGGAGCTCCGTACCACAAAGTGACCTTTGAAATGCTCGTCCCACCCTGCGCGACCCTGCGTGTGCGTGCGTGTAAACCCACACGTTCCCCGTCTCCAGCTGCTGACGCTCTGGAAGTGGTTATCTGGGCCCTGCCTTCCCATATGGACCAGGCCCTGCCCGATCCTCAGCAGCTGCGAGTGCATCGCAGCGGCTTCCGCCCCTGGGCTCGCAGCTGTGGTGGCCGCAGCCTTGTCCCTAAATGTCCGGCCGCGGGGGTGTGACGGTAAATGCTAAACCCGCCCGAGAGTGCGTTTGCCTGCGCTGGCTGCGGCGCATCTCCTCGGCTGCAGCATCCCCCTGCTTGTGGGAAAACGTGGCTGTGTGTCCCCTGCAGCCTTCCCCCAGCGCTGGAGTTGGCCGTGCCCCTTCTCCCCTGCCATTCCCAGGCACTGCCCAGGGATCGTCGGGAAGCTCACCACGAAGGAAACGTCGCTTCCTTTGGCTCTCACGAGGAGAAACTTTTAACCTCGATGCAGTGTGACGCAGCTGGGAGCGGGCAGCTGGTCCCGCTGCGGTGGGGCGGCTCCCATTTATCATTTTGAAAGGGGATTTTAAGACGTGTGGAGCTTTGGGCCGCGCCGAAGGGAGGGGAGGGAAGGGAAGCAGCGGGGTGAGGGGGAGGCAGCGCTGGCTGACCCCGGGCCAGTGGTGCGGACGTGCGGCAGGTCTTGCTG